CACAAATTTTTGTGCACCGGGCCTCTAGTGAAATTATAAAACATCAGCCTTTAGTCAAAGTTAAAGCCTAACACCAAACCCACAAAGAACAAAAGGACACTAACAGCATTCAAACAAGAGGAAACTTAAATATATCCTTTCAATAGCAAATAAATTTGCATTAAAACAATAAGGTAGCCCTAGCTGGTTTGGCTCAGTGGATAGAGCATCGGCCTGTGGACTGAGGGGTCCCGGGTTTGATTCTGGTCAGGGGCACATGCCTGGGTTGTGAGCTCAATCCCCAGTGTGGGGCGTGCAGGAGGCAGCCAATCAATGATTCTCTCTCATTATTGATGTTTCTATCCCTTTCCCTTCCTCTCTGAAATCAATAAAAATATATATTTAAGAAAAAACAAACAAACAAAACAACAATAAGGTAAACTTCTCCACTTAATAAATTTAAAAGCATAAGAAAAATCATAAAACTATAAACAAGGCTGTTGAAAAATAAGTGTTACTCTTGTTAGTATAAATTGATGGAATAGAATAATAGAATAAAAAGTGACTTAGCATTTACTATTGAGAACATAAAGATATAAATGCCACTCAGAAAATTACAGGACATTGAAAAAAGAGCTAGAGGAAGTCATAAACATACCGTGTTCATGGATTGGTAGAATCAACATCATTAAAATGTCCATACTACCCAAAGCAATTTATATATTCAATGCAATCCCCATTAACATACCAACGGCATATTTCACAGACCTAGAACAAATTCTCCAAAAATTCATATGGAATAAAAAAAGACTGCAAATAGCTACAGTGATCCTGAAAAAGAAGAACAAAGTTAGAGGGATCATAATACCAGATATCAAGCTATATTATAAAGCCACTGTTCTCAAAACTGTCTAGTACTGGCACAAGAACAGACATATAGACCAATGGAAAGAGAACCCAGAAATTGACCTAATCCATTATGCTCAATTAATATTTCACAAAGGAGGCAACAGCATACAATGGAGTCAAGACAGTCTCTTCAATAAATGGTGCTGGGAACACTGGTCAGATACGTGCAAAAAAAATGAAACTAGACCACCAACTTACACCAGTCACAAAAATAAACTCAAAATGGTTAAAGGACTTAAACGTAAGATGGGAAACCATAAAAATCTTAGAATACTCCATAGGCAGCAAAATATCAGACATATTGTAGTAATAGCTTTACCGATACACCTCCTAAGCTGCAGTGGTTTTCAACCTTCCTAATGCCGCGACCCTTTAATACAGTTTCTCATGTTGTGGTGACCCCCAACCATAAAATTATTTTCGTTGCTACTTCATAACTGTAATTTTGCTACTGTTATGAATCGTAATGTAAATATCTGATATGCAGGATGTATTTTCATTGTTACAAATTGAACATAATTAAAGCATAGTGATTAATCACAAAAACAATATGTAATTATATATGTGTTTTCCGATGGTCTTAGGCGACCCCTGTGAAAGGGTC